GCTGTGGCCCACGTACCTGAGGCGAATATAATTACAACGACCGGCGAGTACAAAAAAATGTGGGGAAAAATGCATGTACCATTACAACTAACTGTGATTTATCTGGGCTAATACATTGCTCAAGCGCCACCCTGTATATATTTACAGCTCCAACAGTATGAAAAAAATCACGATATGATAACCGTATATCCAAACATCAGTTTTCGATGTATCACGGATTTGTCACCGTAATAGTATGAGAAACGTAATATGTAATATTATAAGGACTAGTTTGGGAACCCTGTTGTCAAGATAAAATTATTCTACCGGCCGAGAAACGTTAGAAAAGCTGCAAATAAACATTAGGGTATTGTTTCTGTTGTGGTAACTTTTCGCCACCAATACCGTTATTTTGGGATATGTGGATTAAGATTAATATATGCAATAAAAATTATTAAGGCTGAAGTGTAGCTCGATCTTAGAACAGGTACCCCCCCACTTCTCGTCTATTCGCGTTAACCGTGGCCTAAAATTACAATAAAAAATTATATCTGCGTTTTAATGTCAAATGTAGCGGCCGCTGTTTTTTAAGGTTGTCATAGTTAGCGTTAGCATTTTTCCCATTGGAATGAATTAGCGGTCCCCATAAGGATATGTTTACCCTACGTGTGTGTGTGTGTGTGTGTGCGTGCGTGCATGTTATTTTCAACATGCATACACACAACCAGCTAAATAGTCAATTACTCAAATACTACTTTCCTTTGCCCCATTTATACATGCACAATATACATACTGATTGTTCATTCATTTCTTGTGTTTCCAATGTGGATTTCATGTGTCGGTAAATATTTCATTTGTTAGCACCCTGTTGACTCTCTTACCGGTTGCTGTCTGTATCTTTGCAAAGAATTCAGATACATGAGAATACCTTCAAAACTTGGTCAGGACATTTAATGTTACTTTCTTTATAAAGTGAAGAGTAGCTGAGTTTACAGAAACGAACGTTATTCACACGGCGCACACGTTACATGGTTGTTCGTAAACAATCAAAACAGTAAATACACAGTAAAAGAACGTTTATATTTTGTTCGTGAACGTTCGCTTCTCCCTGGGTAGGGTTTATGATTGACTAAATATCACATCACAGGGTGTACATTAGCTGCCAGCTGACACTGGCAAATATCACCTGGTATGGCTACTGACTACTGGAAAAATAATTGTCATTGTCAACATCTGATAAAATCTTGCTATCGATCAAACTTACTATAACATTGCAAATGCCTCTCTATGTGTTTCAGCACTAATTCGGGAAGTCCTAACAAAGCAAGAAATGATTCTTGAGCAACAGACATTTATTTTGCGTCTTCTTCAAGCACGGCAAAACACCCAGGATTGTCAAATTGAAGAAGGGCGTCTGCTGGTGCGTGATAAACAAGCACTAGGCTACAAAATGTAGAAGTACAACTTGATAATGGAGAATTCAAAGAGAAATTGGTAAGTTTTTATATATCTTAAGCGGGGAATACCACTTTCTGTGGTCACTATTTTAAAGTTTAACAGCCACTTTTGGACTTTATGAATAACTTTTTTTAAAATATGCAAAGTGAACGTGTCCTGTTCCATCAGCCGTAAAGTTTGGTAATTTGTGACTAAATTTTTTTGTGTTTCTCGTAGATGAATCACTTAAGTCTTATTGGAGGGTGTGACATAAAGGATGCAGTCTGGCGGCTAATGGGGAGAACAATTTCCAATAGCCTTGCTAGAAACATGAATTGGAAGGGGCTGAACGGGAAGACATCATTTGCAACACTGCGATTGAAGGATGTGATGATTGGTAAATATTTATGCAAATATATCATATGGGTCATTAGCTGGACAAGGTGGTCGTTGAGAAGGATAAAATGTATGGAACACCAGAATACTCAAATAAACAAATAAATATGCAAAGAAATATTTCAATAATTAAATGTGTCATTTTATTGAACAATAATTCAATAAATGGAATTACATTTCATAATATAATGCAAAAGTGATTACTTACATAATTAAAATTATATTTCACAATAAAGTTAGACTTTTCACAATGATGTATTTCTGAATGACGTTTTTCCAAACCAGCTTTTTATTTCATAGTGCTTCTTTTCAGAATAATGGTGCACTCTGTCAATCACTTTGAGGGGGGCGGGACTGAGCTTGTGATTTGCTAATCCTTTGCGATCCATTATTCAGCCTAGCAGATATAGAAAATACTTTGAAAAGCTTTGGACGATGTAATTATTTTATTTATTGAGATATTTACAGTATGTATGTATTTATATACACATATAAATTTATTTATTTCATTTTGAGTATTATGGTGTTCCATAAAACATGACTTAACATCGCTAATAACTTAACATCTATAATACGCTCAGTGACAAAAAAAAGTTAAGCACCCAGAAGTAATTAATGGCTTGATTTGAATGTATGATATAATCATTGCAATACAGTCACATGACCTTTCAGCATGTGCAGATTTATTTCCACCACTTCAACTGGGTGCTTAACTGTTTTGTCACCAAGTATAAAAATCATTAAATAAATAAGAGCTTAATACTAGGTCAATTTTTGAATATGTTGAAAAACTAAATTTACATATTTTCGTGACTGGTGTTGCTGCATAGAAAAGATACATCTTAAAACCTATGTCTATTTATGGATTATTTTTAAACTGGCATGAATTTGTTTTAAAATCTCAATATTGTATGAATTTTGAGACATATCTGTTACTGTCTGGCATTTTAGCTGCAGTTCGAAAAAATCCACTGATGTCCAAAGCGACAGATCATGATGTGGAATCTGTCATGAAAAGATGGCTCCAGCTTGCTTTAGATCGAGAGGGAGGCAGAAAACGGCGGCAAAAAACTCATAAGATTTCTCTCTTGTTCACTCAACCACCCACCCTCTTTCGCTCACCAGTATGTGTCAGATGTGTGTCAGTATACTGTGCCTACACAAATATTCACACACTAGTCCTTCATTTTTTCTCTAATATTCATTAAAATTTTGGATAAACAAATGCAAATTTTTCAATTTTGTGAAACATTTTTCATACCATGTGCT